TCTGGACCCAGACAAAATGTCACTGCTCACCAGCCGTGTGATGCTGGGCAAGTTACCTGAGCTTTCTGTGCCTCGGTTTCTTCCCTTGTAAAATGGCTTTATGTAAGTTTTTGATATTTTATTTATCATCGGTTTTTGCATTGGTTGTTACTTTTTAATCTATCACATTAAAATCTTGTTTTGGTTACTGAGATTTGGGGTACCCTAAATTAAATTTTGCACTGGCCTCATTCCTGTTCGGGCCCTAGAGGCTGCCAGCAAGACCCAGGCCAGAGCAGCCTTCTGTTCTCCCCTCTCCCAGCCTTCGGCCCATGTGCTGCCCTCTGCCCTCTTCTGGCTCAGGGAGGGCTGACTGCTAGAGTAGGCCAGGCCACCCAGGAGAGAAAGGCTGTTTGCTCTGCTCTCTCCAGCAGCTTCATTAACATGCAGAAAGATACAAATTCAGGCAATCCTGCTGTTTAAGAAGAACTTAATATGGTTTTTAAAAAGATAGGGTGAAAAGGCAGAAATTGCAGGAAATTATGTATTGCAGGAGCTGCTTTATCTTCTCCGCAGTCGACTCCAAGGAGGCTTCTGCTTTGGGAGCAGCATTTCCTGTGCTGAGATCCCCTCCCTTGGAGGAAAGCGAGGGCCAGGGCCAGGGCGAGGCTGAGGCTCTCACAGTGGGACTCTGGTCCTCAGCCAGGCTTCCTGCTCCTAACCCTGACGCCCAGGCCTCCTTACTGCCCCTTCCCAGCCTCCTCCCGGGCTCACACATGTATCGAGGGTCGATCCGTTCACTCGCCCTCACAAGGGGAGCAGTTGAGGCCTTGTTCATATGACTGTTGACGTGAGTCAGAGCCACCTTCAGAAGCACAGTCCCCAGACAACGAACCGGGTGCTAGCCTCAAGGACTCCCCGTGGGTGCGCACCCACTGGGGGAGCTTGCCTTGGTTCCAGCCTAGAAATCTCTGGAGGTCTGACGCATCCCCATGGATCTGACAATAGCACAGCAATACAGATGGTCATAGTGGGCTTCTGCCTAGTGGGTTTGGCTCAGTGGATAGGGCATCGGCCTTCAGACCTAAGGATCCCAGGTTCGATTCTGGTCAAGGGCACGTACCTCATACCTCGCTGGCAGGCTCCTCCCGGGCCCAGGCCCTGGTCGGGACTCATGCAGGAGGTGACCAATTGATGTGTTTCTCTCACACTGATATTTCTCTCTGTCTTTCCCTCTCTCTTCCACTCTCTCTAAAAACCTATGGAAAAATATCCTTGGGTAAAGATTAAACAAATAAAAAAAGAAATGGGAATAATAACTACACCTACCTCGTGGGGCTGTTGAGAGGATGGGATGAGCTAATAGGTGTAAAAGTAGTGCCCGGCACATAAGAGGTAGGACTGTACCACCTGGCCATTCCCAGGTGAACGACAGTGGACATGGGCAGCTTCGTGTGGCTTGGCCCGGTGCAGAGTGGCACTCAGGGGCTGGCTCCTAGAGCGCTGTGCTGGGCACGGTGCTCTGGCACTTGGCGTATGCCCTCTCCTTTATTTTCCACAGGCTCACAGGGGCGTTAGGACTCCACTGGTCAGAGGAGAACATCATGACTTAGGCTGAGGTGCTGGCCCCGAGCTGCTCAGCTGGTAGGTGCCGAGCTGGGGTCCCAGCAGGAGGCCTTGGCCTCTCTGTCGGGTGCCGGGCGGGGCCAGTGGCCTCCCAGGGAGCACTGAGTGGTCCTGGGAGCCTGGTACTAAGTTCTGCATTCATTTTTCTCGAATACTCTACTCCCCTTCCTGAGCTGGCAGGCCCCGAGCGTTCTCCTAGGAAGCACAAATAAGAGCACTTGCCCCTGGATTTTGTGGCACCAGCTGCAGTTGTTTCAGATGCTGTGTATGTATTTATGTGACAGAGTGGGTCGTGGTGTGTGGTTCGCTGATGTGCGTTCAGGTGTCGCACAGGTGACCTCCAGGTGGGTGGGTCGCGTCTAGACACACGGAGCTGTGGCCTGGGGAGGCTGGAGGAGCCTGGGGTCCCAGGCTGTCCCCTGAGTGCTGGCCCTCCCAGCTGCAGCCCTCCCCACTGCATCAGCACTGACACTACACCTCCCGGCTTGAAGGGACAGTGGCGGGCATCCTGTTGAGCACGTCACTTTACAGATGAGGAAACTGAGGCTCAAAGAGCTGGAGGGACTGTGGGGACCAACCGGAACGCAGAACCCTGGTTCCCCATGGGACTGTCCCCCTTCTCCTCAGCAGGGGCTGGTCTTCTCTCCTCATCTCTGATGCCACTGCTGGGTGTCTCCGAGGGGAGGAGCCAGGGCCAGGTGGCCTGTGCAGGCACACAGGGCCTGTGCTTGGTCTCATGCTCTGTGGTCACTGTCCTGAAATCTCTTAATACTTCTTGAACAAAAGACCCCACAATGTCTCTTTCCACTAGGCCGCACAGTTATCCACTTGGTGCTGGAAGGAGCCCTAGGCCCTGGGCTGCCTCCTTTTCCTGGGGCGGGGTAATGAACAGAGGAAATCCTTGGTAGCAATGAAAAAACGGGGTTTCACGGGCCTCTGGATGCCTGTCTGGAGTCTAGAGCTCAGTCCGGGGGAGTGTGGGGGGGGGGGGAGGGGGGGGGGGATGGGAGTGGGGAGCAGAGCTTCCCGGGAGGCATGACCAGGCCGCCTCTGCCCTGCAGGGCGGGAGTGGAGCCTCCTCCCAGGAAGAGGCAGGGCCTGCTAGGCTTAGGGAGCAGGATCTCTAGGAGGGTGAGGGGCAAGTCCTGAAGTCGGCCGCCTGGGGTAGCCTGTGTGGCCTTGGGCATTTGACAGCCCGAAAAGCCTGTTTCTCATCGGTAGGAGAGCAGAGGAGTTCGCGGTGCAGTTATGAGGATTCAGTGAGTAACGTGCAGCCATAACATACGAAGAATGATGTCCTTATTAGCTCTGCGCCAGCAAGTGCTCCGTAAGGCAGCCACCCTCCTGCCCCAGGGCCGAGCCCAGGCTTCCTGGGGGGCTCTGGGACTCCTTGGGCTTCTAGGCCTGGGGAGCCCCGGCCAAGCCTCTTTCTCCCTCTCAGGTGGCGACATGAGGGGCATGGAAGAGACGTCGTGACGTCGTTCCCGGCCCCTCCGTGCTGGCCTGGCCGTGTCTCAGCCCTTCAGGGGGCACTTCTGTCCCAGGGGGCCCCGCGCCCCGCCCTCCCTGTCCAGCTGCCCCGAGGCCAGGGCAGGCAGGGAAGCGCCGTGTGAGCGGTAATGTGCTCTCTGGAGGTGGAGGGTGCCGGAAGGGGCCTGGGCTTGACATCAGTCGGACTCGTGGAAGTTCTGCTCTGCAGTGTCAGCCAGTGGCCAGGGCAGGTTACTTAGCACCCCTGACCCCCAGCTTCCTCCTCTGTAAAAAGTGATGAAGGATTATCTTGAGGCGAAATGTGATAAGGCTGTGAAGCACCGAGCTCAGTGACTGGCCCACACAGACGGTGTCTGATGAATGTTTGTTGAATGAATGAATGAATGAATGAGTGAGCGAATGAGTGAGTGAATGGAGGGATGCTCTGTGTTTGCTGTTGTCAGATGTCCTGGAAGGAAGGCGTGTGAGGTGGTGGGAGTGGAGGTGGGGCAGGGACAGAGGCCTCCACTCCCACCACTGTGTTGCGGGGAGGGGAGAAGTGTTCAGATAATCAGAATCGCTTGCAGGCACATAGCACTTAGCATGCGCCATACACTGTTCTCAGCACTGTACTCACATGAACAACAAGCACATGAGGTAGGCCCCCCAGTACCCCCATTTTATAGATGAAACTGAGCACAGAGGGTACCTTGCCGTAGGTCACACAGCCAGTGAGGGATGGAGCTGAAGCAGGCAGCCTGGCTGCAGCGACCATGTGCCTACCTTCATTCCCTACCCAGCCCTTCCCCTCTGCTGCCAGTGTGGTCCTCGCTGGCTGTAGGACACTGATTTCAAGGGCGGGGCCTCCTTTTCACTCAGAGGAGGGGGCAGCGTGAGAAAGCTGGGTGGCTTCCCGACAGGCCCCGCCCTCGAGGGCAGGCCAGGCCCCAGGTATAGGATAGGGCCCCAGCTCTGGCCACTGGACAGTGATTAGTCGGATGCGAAGCTTTCAGGTGGGCGAGGCCACATGGGGATGGGTGGGGAGGAGGTCGGAGGCATCTTTGCCCAGTGCCCTGCCGGCCACCGTGAGCAAAGGGGCCGGTCACCATGCGAGGGGAGGGTCCCGCGGCCCAACCAGGGCCTGAGTACCGTCTTTGCACTCGGGCGGAGGCTTGGGTCTGACGGGGCCGTGAACTGGCCACGGGAGTCAGAAACCCCGGGCTCTGCCTGGTGGACTTGGGGAGTCCTCCCTGCTCTGGGCCTCAGGCCACATCTACCTTAGAGTGAGTTGGGTGTGAAAGTGACGCCTAAGGTTACGTGTCTTCTAGGAACCACACAGATGTGTAAGGGAGCGAGGCCTGGGCAGAGCATGGGCGTTGGGGGTGGCAGGTCCAGAGTGGCCCTGGGTCAGTCATCTCAGCTCTCGAAGCCACTCAATAAAATAGTGAAATTGTGTGTTAACACTGGCCGTGTGGGTGTGACTGCCTGCTCTCTGATGAGCACTTCACACCCTTCACCTCATCAGTCCTCACAACAGCCCTTTGGGATGTGTACTGTGATCGGCCCATGTGAGAGGGGAAACTGAGGCTCCAAGAGGTACCCCCCCTGCCTGAGGTCTCCCAGCTAGAAAGTGGCCGAGCCAGGATTCACCCCCAGGGCAGCTCGCCCCAGAATCCACCTGCTTCAGGGCAGACTGTGCTTCTGCCAGACCTGACGGTGGGGGGTCGTCTGGGGATGAAAAGAGACCCTGGAAGTGTTAGCCCAGGGCCTGGCCCTTAGTCAGTGCCGGGCAATGGGAGATGCTGCCCTTTCTAACAGCTGGTGCCTGGGGTCCTCCTGCTTCCAGGGCCTGGGGCTACGTTCCCACAGGGATCGGGGCGCCTCCAGCCTTCTCCTCCTCACACCCCTGCTCCCCTCCCCTCAGGATGTCGCCACAATGCAGTTCTGTGCCAACAAGCTGGACAAGAAAGATTTCTTTGGGAAGTCCGACCCGTTCCTGGTGTTCTACAGAAGCAACGAGGATGGAACGTGAGTCCCCAGCAACACGGCACCCCTTCTGGGGTCGGGGCGGGCGGGCTTGCGTCCACCTCCTCCCTGTGCTGCCTGGGCTCCTGCTCCAGAGGGGATGGAGGTCAGGGCTCCGGGGGTGCCTGGCCACGCGGATGGGCTGGTGGGGCTGGGGCAGCCTCCAAGCCAGCAGTGCCCCTCTGGGGGCCTCAGCAGAGGCGGGTGGTGATGTGTGGAAGGTGGGGGAGTGGGTAAAAGCAGAGTGAGGGCGAGAATAAGGGTCTCCTCTTCCTTCTTCCACACCAATCAGTCCATATACCCAAGCCCAGTTCTCCACCCACTGCCCTCTGAACACCCCACTGCCATGTCTCCCCCACTGCTGCACCCCCAGATGGCAAATCTGGGCCCTCTCCCCGCCCAGCCCCACACCTCACTGTAGGCTTCATTCAAAACTCTACACGTCTTCCTCTCCTGTCCCTGATCCAGAAGCCACCACAGCAGACAGGAACACACACACACACACATTGGCAAATGTAGGTCAGCTATGCACAGAGGGACAGATTCTAGGTGGGTGCTCCGGGGGCCCAGGGCCTCCCCGCCAACCAGCTGTGTAACTAACCCCAGGCAAGTCATGCCCCTCTCTGGGCCTGCTTTCTCGTCAGTAGAAGAAACCAAGTGGATGAGGTGGTCTCCGCGGTCCCTTTAAGCAGCACAGGGCAGGGAGGCTGAGGCCACTTAGGCTGGCGTTCTGCGGAGCCAGGAAGCGATGGGCCAGGAAGGTTAATTAGAAAAGCGCTGCTGGAGCAGGGCAGGGACGCGGGGTTTGAAGAAGAGGAAGAAAATGGGTCCGCGGGGAGGCGCGGGGAAGCACAGGCCAGAGGAAGGGCGTGCGCAGGGCAAGTGCCCGGAGCAGAGGCAGAAAGGCCTCGCCAAGTTCTCTTGGATCCTGAAATTCTTGTGTGCGGGTGTGTGCCCGTGTGTGTGTGTGTGTGTGTGTGTGTGTGCGTCTTCCTCTCCTGTCCCCTGATCCAGAGCCACCACAGCAGACAGGAACACACACACACACACATTGGCAAATGTAGGTCAGCTATGCACAGAGGGACAGATTCTAGGTGGGTGCTCCGGGGGCCCAGGGCCTCCCCGCCAACCAGCTGTGTAACTAACCCCAGGCAAGTCATGCCCCTCTCTGGGCCTGCTTTCTCGTCAGTAGAAGAAACCAAGTGGATGAGGTGGTCTCCGCGGTCCCTTTAAGCAGCACAGGGCAGGGAGGCTGAGGCCACTTAGGCTGGCGATCTGCGGAGCCAGGAAGCGATGGGCCAGGAAGGTTAATTAGAAAAGCGCTGCTGGAGCAGGGCAGGGACGCGGGGTTTGAAGAAGAGGAAGAAAATGGGTCCGCGGGGAGGCGCGGGGAAGCACAGGCCAGAGGAAGGGCGTGCGCAGGGCAAGTGCCCGGAGCAGAGGCAGAAAGGCCTCGCCAAGTTCTCTTGGATCCTGAAATTCTTGTGTGCCCGTGTGTGCCCGTGTGTGCCCGTGTGTGTGTGTGTGTGTGTGTGTGTGTGTGTGTGTGTGTTTGTGGGGGGGGGGGGGGCGGGGGGGGGGGGGGGTGTGGTGTGTGTGTGTGTGTGTGTGTGTTGGGGGCAGGGACGTGGCAGGGAGGAGCTGTGTTGCGGTTCAAGAGAAAATGGATTTTTAAATCTGAACGTACAAAACAAGGGAAATTAGGTGTGACATTTGCATAACAAAGGGATTCTTTGTCTCACCAGAGGACTCCCAGTAGAAGGTCTTTAAATAATTCTGTTGACTTTGACTTGACTTGGCGGAGGGAGGAGAAGGCCGGGTGGTGTTCTAGGGCCACAGCATGTCCACCCAGGGCCCCTGCAGAGAGGCCAGGCCGGCCACACGGGGCTGTCTCAGAGGCGGGCGGCCGACCAGGAGGAGGGGGGGATTTGGGTTTGGGAGCAGGAAAGGGGTGTGCTGCAGAGTGTTTTCCAAAGATTGTTCCAGAGAGCAGATGTGTAGGATGGATGGGGAGGGGCGGGGAAGAGGAAGAGACTCGTGACTGACACGTGAACAGGTGCTGAGCACCCGGCAAGCTGTGCTGTGGAAGTGCCGGGGAGGCGGGGGCGGGAGGACGGGGCAAAAGGACAGCGCGGGCACCTGTCAGCAAACTTGGGTGGGGCCTGAAGTCACAGCCCCGCCCTGGCAGTGAGCTGCGGGGGGCGGGAGGGCTGAAGGTGGCAGCTGGTCAGACGGGGGAGGCCATGGGAGCTTATTGGGGGTGAGTTTCAGCTGAAGCAGGGCTGAGTGTGTCCCTGGGGACACCCAGGTGGCTGGAGAAACCCACCCCGAGGCCCCTGAGAGGTGGGCTAGCCTGCAGGCACCTGTGAAGATGCTGAACTGGTGAGAGCAGGGTGGTTCCTCCCCTTCCCCCCTCCTCCAGTTTGAGGAGGGGAGAGTGGAAGGCTTGGGAGACACCCCGTTAGGAGGGTGGGCGGAAGGTCAGTGAGGGGCCCAGGGAGTGAGATGTCACGCCTGCCACCCCAGGAGGGACAGGGAAGGAGGCATCCACCGAGCGCCCTGTGCTCCTGGCCCTGTACCTGCCGTCTTCCTCATCCCATCACTCGTCTGGGAGCAAGAATGTGACCAGGAGAACGGCCCCCCCGCCAGGCTGCCTTCGCCGGCGTGGCGCTGCCTGTGGTCAGCTGTGTGACTTTAGGCAAGCCTAACCCACCGGGACTTTCCGGGAGAAGGACAAGTGCTGACTCTCGCTGTCCAGTATGGTCGCCATCGGGCACATGGAGCTGTTGAGCGCTTGAAATGGGCCTGATGGACGGCGGAACTGAGTTTTAAATTTCATTTCATTTTAGTTCATTGAATGGAAGTGGTCACATGCACTGTGGCTGCCGTTCTGGACAGTGCAGCTCTAACTCGGTGTGTCCATGGGGCGGATCACAGCAGCCCTCTGCTATGAGGATTGATGAGTTAACACCTGTGATTAGAGCAGGGCCCGGCAGCTCCTGTTCTGTCCCCATGTTCCAATGAGAGGGGAGCTCAGAGAGGGAGAGTGGTTTGCCTGGGGCCGCACAGCTGGTGACAGTGGCCCTGGGACTGTCTGCTCCACCACCCACTGAGCAGAAAATGAACTGAGCGGTGACATGACTGCAGGGACCGCAGGGCGTCGAGGGGCCTGTGGATTCGGTGGGGATCGGGGATTCGGGCAAGAGTCTGAAACAGAAAGCAGACTGCACAGGGCTCGAGAAGAACCAGCTGGGAGGGAATCAGGCTGACAGCTCAGAGCCCGGTCTGGAAGTTTGGCTGGCCAGGGAGGCCACCGGGGAGGCAGTGGCTCCAAAGGATGGGAGGCTGGAGGGTCCACCCAGGTTAGTGCAATCAGGGCTTCTGCACAGCAAACCTCCCTCCCTTCACACCCATTATGCTCCTGCCCCTCCCTCCTGCCTTCCCCCC